TGCCACTTATTGAGAGTATGGTTGATGGTAAAAAAATGTGCACAAATGGTATAGCCATCTGTTAACAATCCGAATAATCAATACTTTAAAATTGCAAGTTAGTATCTCCAAAGTACATGGATAGAATAGTTGCTAGAATGTAGAACTGAACAGCAAATCTCCTGAAGGAAAATGTTCTCTTTGATTAGAAAAATGACAGTAAACACTTTTTTTCATTGATTAGAGATTTTTCACTTATTAATAATAATATTCGGCGCTACTGCCCTTGAAGGACACGGCCCTAATCACAGATTGCAAGCCAGGGTGGTCTATGGGCAGCAACCGCTCAACATCGTCCAGACATCTCATTCAGGGACGTCCACACTTTCAAGTACCACCCAGCTTTTCAAAAAGTAGCTTCCTTGGAAGACGATCCTCCTTCGTACGCCCCACATGTCCGAGCTACCTCAGCCTCCCCTTTTTTATGATACTAACTATGTCTGGCTGATCTTACAATGCTCTTAAATCTTCGTTTTTTCTAATTTTCCACTCTTCATCAGAGTAGACTGGTCCATATATTTTTCTTAGTATCTTTCTTTCTCACCTGAATAGTCGTTCCTTCATCTCCTTTGTCAGGACAAATGTCTCACTGCCATAGGTGAGTATGGGGCGAATAATTCTCTTGTAAACGATGACCTTGGTGCTCCAATAAAGATCTTTGAACCTCAAAACTTTAAGTACTGCAAAAAAGCAACCATTTCCTGATGCTATTTTGGCCTCTATCTCCTTGCGAAGTTCATTATTTCACTTATTAATATTTTTAGAAAAAATATATATATATGTTTACAAAATTATGAAATAAGGTATAGACTTAAATTTGTATCATGTTAAAGATGACACAATTAATAGCATACAATTATATTATTGTTATCTGAATAATATAAGACTTTATTTTTTTTCTGTTAGGTAATATTTAATTAGTTTATCTGTATGAATTTGTTTAGCATATAGCAATATTTTAATTTGTATTTTGTTCTTTTTTTATTTTATTAGAATTTTTGAGATTTCTTCAAAATATTTGTTTGAAATTGCATAAACAACCTATTTCTGTTGTTAATTCTTGTGGGTTAACTTTCTGCAAGGTTAACTTTTTGTCTATTGGGATCCACACTTTGTCATTTAGGTAAATGCACCTGTTTAAGAAAATTTCTTTGAATATTTGTGTATAAAAAATTAAATATTGATGTTATTGTATGTTTCTTGTTTTCATTTTATATAACTACTTTTCACCTTATTGAAACACATTTCAAATCCATGAAACATCCATCTGAATTTCAAAAAAATAGTAAATTTAAAGAATAGTTTTGTTACACCTGATACACCTGTAGCTAACACTATTTGATTTGGAATGTTCTTCTAGCTGACAGGGATGAAAACAAGGATGTAATTATGCGAAATAAAGTATTGAAATTTTATATTCTCCATTTTAGAATATATATTAACAAAATTATCTTTAACTGATTATAAAAACTAACTTAATTTTGTTTCCTGACTTAAATTTATTGATAAATGCTAGTCACTTTCAAAAAACTGTTTTTTGCATATGAAAAACCTATTTTTGCTTTATATTTAATCCAAATCAATAGCAATCTTTTTTTTTTTTAACAAGATAGTAGTAAATGGTAATGAAATATTGACTGATCAGTTTCTATAAGCAGTTCTTTATTTGCCCTCATTCTCCATATATTGGTACTCTGACATCAGGTTACTCTGGTTATCGCATGGAGGATTTTCCTCCAAAATCTTTCGATTTTTCAAACTAAAATATGAAAGTAATGGAAAATTATGATTAATAATGAATTTATTTAAAAACTAAATAGCAACATGAACAAAATAAAATTCAAATGAATAAGTAACATATTCTATATTCAAATTTAAAGATGCATTTCCGGATTCGTTTGTGTATAACATCATCATCTATCATTTAAAATGTTTTATAACTAGAAAATGATTTTTATTCATCACCAGATGCGATAGAAACAAATTTATTTGGAGAGCTTACGATTTTTCATTTGTCAAGAAAAGTTATTTTAAAAATTTACTTTTCCATCAGCTATGACATCTTTTGTATAGTATGTTAGGTCAATCCAAGCACTTCTCTATTAATTTTTTTAAAATAATATATACACTGACAGGCAAAAAACTCCACCCACTTGATTTTTTCATGTTTTCATCTAAAAATATTTCTGCTTTGGATTGGTCTATTGTTTTTAATGAATAAATAGGTAATATTTTTGTTTGTTTTCAATTTGGAATGTTAATATAGAGGACAATAACCCTTAATCCTTAATTCAATGAAATGATTCTAGATTCCAATGTTTCTATGGAATCAAAATGTTTATTCAGTATCATTAGTTCAGTGCCGTTTCTTGCAGCACATTTCTTAGTCTCCGGCTTTTAACTTTTTCAATATTAAGTTTAAAAATGCCTCTTAGTGCTGAGGATGTTGCGCGTGGTGTGGCACTTATTGATGATGGACGTTCCATTAGATATGCAGCTGATGCCATCGGAGTTGCATATGAAACTTTACGAGACGCCGTCAGGCGTTTTCGGGAAACTGGTTCTTACAATAGAAGGCCCAGTTCTGGACGGCCTAGGGTAACAGAACGACGGGATGACTGGTTTTTGACTTTGAGAATTTTACGAAACCAGCACCTTACCGTTGTTCAAGCGATTCATCAGCTCAAAGAAGTTCAAGGTGTGCAAATTTCTGAACTTACCGCTCGGAGAAGATTAAATGAGTATGGATTAATGGCTTTTCGTCCAGTAAGAGGACCAGAGTTGACCATAATTCACAGAGTAACACGGCTGGCTTTTGCTGGAGAACACAGCCATTGGACTATGGACGAATGGAGTGCTGTACTTTTTACAGATGAGTCAAGATTCGCTCTTTGATCTCCAGACGGGCGTGAAAGGTTGTGGAGAAGAAGAAACAAAAGATATGCAGCCTGTAATTTTTCCCAGAGCCAATCTTTCCAACATGGTTCCTTAATGGTGTGTGCTGGGATTTCAATGAAGCGCCGCACAGAATTTGTTGTTGTCGTGGAGGGTCTTTGACGGCCATTCGCTATGTAGATGAGATTTTGGAACCTCATGTGTTGCCTATCCTCAACGAAATCGGCGATTGTTCTATTCCAATGCACGCCCACATGCCGTCCGCATAGTGCAGACGTTCCTTCAACAGAACAATATTGAGATTTTAGCCTGGCCAGCACGTTCTCCAGATTTGAACCCCATTGAGCATTTATAGGATAACCTCAGAAGACAAATAAGAGCGCGTGCAACACTTCCTGATACACTGCAAGACCTTGAAAGTGCTCTTCGGAAGGAATGGGCTATCATCCAGCAAAGGGACATTTCCCGACTGGTGGAAAGTATGCTGAGGCGTCTTCAAGAAGTGGTGAAGGCAAGAGGAGGAAACACGCGCTACTAAACGATGATGTAATTAATTTCTTTTAGAATAATTATGGTTCGTTTTTCAAATTTTTTTTTCTCTAATCTTTCTTACCCAATCACATTTTGATTATTAAAGGTAAAAAAGATTATAAAATTCCATAAATACTAACTATTATCTACAAATATCATGTATTATATACAAATACAACTTTACAGAAATATTTTTAGATGAAAACATGGAAAAATCAAGTGGGTGGAATTTTTCACCTGTCAGTGTATTATAGCCTTTAAAGGAAGTAAACAACAAATTGAAATTAAAATTGAGTTTGATGTTTAAAAGAGATTAAAACTCAAAAAATTAAAAACATTCATATTTTAAAAGGTCAATTATTGAATGAAGTGTTATTTTGTTGTACTTTCATTCCTATGATTCTGATGTGGCAATTTTATTTTATTATTTTTTTTTTTTTTTTGCCTGAAATCATCAAAATAAACAGTTATCAAAAATACAAAATAAAATATGGCTAATTGCATCTGAGTACACAGATTCTTATAGTAAGATATTTGGTCAACTGTTTAAAAAATGCATGCAAACAGAATATGCAATTACGTACAGATTTGATCTTTGATTATAAACATGTTAAATTATAATCTTATATTATTTAAAGGTATTTTTAATTATTTATTTATAATAATAATATAGTGAATTCATATCACATATGTTTATAAATAATTTTTTTAGCTAATGTTATTAATAGGAAATTCATTTCTATTCAGCACTTTAATTATGTTTATTTTTTTCCTAATGATAATGCATTTATAAAAGAATAATGATGGAAAAATGCATTTGTATTTGTAATAAAATATATATTTATATAAAAATATATATAAATAAATATACAAAAATAAAATATATATAAATAAATTTTATCTTCATGCTACTTAAAATATTTCATATTTCATAGCTGCTTAGTAGAGTAGTCACTTATTTTTATATTTGTTGTTCTTCCATGTACTTTGATCTTTGTAGGTTTTTTTTTTTTTGGTTTTTTTATTGCATTTTTCAATGAATTTATTTCATATTTAATATAAACTGCTCATTTAAAAAATATATATTTTATTATTTTAGGTAGAATGTATTATTCTTTTAATTATTGGGAAGTTTTCTGCACATTAGGTTGTAAAATTAATGTATTAATTTATTATTGTGAGTGAAACATTTTTTCATATTATAATACACATTAGACATTGTAAACTGATAATAATCATATGTTTTCCATATTAGGAATATCATTGGAAATTTTTTTATGAAATTATGCATTCGAATTTTTTTTTTAATTCTGTTATTAAAATTTTTGAGAACTGATATTTTGATATAATATTTTCAGTATAAGATTAACTCAACTTTATGAAAATTTAATCCACCATTTTAGTAATTTTAACTACTCCTATTCCATATCTATTATTCTGTTTAAAGTTTTGAATTGAAAACAGAGAGGCTGACTGACCTTATCAATTAAATCATTCGTCTAGTCCAATTTTCTAGTGATTATGCATTATTGTTTGCTTACTAAGCATTCTTTTCTTCTAATTTGTCAGAAAATGATTAATATTTAGTGTATTTATTATTTATGACTGCTTAGAAATGGTGTTGATCTATGTATCTATAATTTTTTCTTTAAGATTGATTATTCCTCAAGACTGATGGAACATAACTATAAAAAGATATTTCAAACTGTTCAATAAAATTTTCAAAAGAAAGAAACATTTTTTAAGTGAGTACGAATTTTTTATTTTATTTTATTAGTTGGATACCTTCCTAATTACACCTAATTTATTTTTTAAAGTAAAATGGATGAGAAAAAGAAACTACATAATCTGAAAGGGTCACCAAAGAATGGTATGTTAATATTTTCATGTTTGCATCAAAAATTATTTTTGATTAATTCTTAATTTTTTTTTTTTATCTATTTGGATAGGAAACATGTCTGGAACATCTTTCCAAGCCCCACAAAGTGTTGCCTCTTCAGTTGTTGAACTGAAAAGAGAAATTGGATTACTTAGCGCTGTCAGCTTGATCGTGAGTGTAATGATTGGTAAATATTAATTTTTTTGTAATTTTTTTATTGGTAAATATGCATTATATTTCTATGTTAGTAGCATTATTTTGTTTTCCAGCCTTTATTTTCAATAATTATTTTATATTTCAGACATGAATTTCTTAAATTTTTATCTCCTGTTAGGTTTTGATATATTTACAGTAAACATATTCACTTACTTTATTAATTATATCCATAAGAAATATATTTTTGGAAAAATCTATTTACTTAAAATTACAAATTTTAATTCTTAGGTTCAGGTATTTTTATTTCTCCATCAAGTGTTCTTGAAAAATCTGGATCTGTGGGACTGTGCTTAGTGATGTGGGCTCTCTGTGGTGCTATTTCCTATTTTGGTAATATATGTTTTTAAATCATATTCTATTTCCTTATGTATTGCATTTTAATAATTCCTTTTTTAGTTGTATTTTTCTCAAAAATACTATACTTTTGCTCTATCAAAGGTTATCAGAAGGAAGGGATGGGGGTGCATTTCATTTCTATTTTAGAACTTCTAGATCACAATTAAGGAGGTTTTGGAGGTGTCAGATGTATATTTTTCTGCTACATTTTAGCACTTCCAGCATCCCTACTGCCAAATTAGCTGAAATTCGATATGTAGAGTTGTTTACTAGGCAGGAGAACACCATAGATTAAATTATTGAACAAACATTGTTGAACAAATATGGATAAATTGTAGTCAAAATGTATGCCTTTCTTAGACATTTTTCCTGGTTTCAAAATTTCATTTTTTATAATGATGTGGAATTTTCATACTTCTAACACTTTATTATATGATGTTTCAGAATTCATATTTCTTAATAAATATTATCTATTATATATTTCTAGTCTAGCCATAAATGAATACCATATAAATTTTATGCACCTTTCTTCACTCCAATATGTTTATTTTAATAATATTGAGCCATGATTTTTTATTCAATTGTATTATGTATTCTAAATAGAAAAATAAAACATTACTCATCCTTTTGTTAAAGACTATTTTGATCATTTCTGTTATTCATTATTGATTTTATTTAGTGAGGATTATTTTTTTTAGTATTAGTTGGCATATTTAAATCAGAAAAAAATATGAAAAACTGTTATTTACTGTGTTTTGTGATGGCACTGCAACTACCTGTTTTAATATCAATCTCTATAAATCATTCAATCTAAATTTATAATAATATTCAAGCAATTTTAATAAAATTCTGTATTATTAAGCATTTCATGCTTAAGAAATTATTTATTACCAAGATAAACAATTGTCTTACATCTTCCCTGAGCCGTCCTTAGGGTAGAGTGAGTGGAGAGGCCATTCCAGGCCTTGCTCCTACTAATCCTCCAGGCAAAGCCTTAGAGGCCACTTTAAGTTTTGAAGATCAGAGGGATATTGACGGACATGAACTATTTATAGAAGTGAAGGTTCTTTGTGGACTTCTTACTGCTGAAGTTGAAACAGCTGCTGGGGCTTTAAGATTTATGAACAGAATTCAAAATCCATTTTCTAACACCTTTATTACATACAGCATTTTTCTTAAAGCCCTGTGACAGTTGCTAGTGTAGAATGGAGTTTTTCTCGCCTCTAGTCAAGACATACATCAGATCATCCATGAGTCAAGAAAGGGAGAGGGGAGATGTCATTTACTTTCAAAACACAGACAAATTTTTGCACCAGGCCCCGCTTTTACTTAGAATAGCTCTGCATCATCTTTTGGGATCAACTTACCATATTCCCAAAATATAGTTGGAAGTACTTTATTTTTTTTATTTTGAAGTAAAGTAACCCATGACATATTTGTTTATTCTTAGTCTTACTGATATTGAGTTCATTGACAATTTTGTTACACATCATTTTTTGCTTTAAAAAACAACAAAAACAAACATTAGGATTAATAAATTCAAAAAGAAAATATTTTTACCCAGATATTAAAAAGGAGCTGATCACAAATATACCTACAGTGTTGATGATTGGATATTTGATAAGTTTTTCTGATGTTCCCATTGTTGTTAGATCCATAAACAATGTTTTGAATTATTTAATAAAATGAGAATTTTTCATTTAAATGGGTTTCTTTTTTTCTAATTATGTTTACACTATTAAATGCTATTATAGTTATAAAGAATTATTTTCATATTTTCGTCTCTTAAAAACATTAAATATTTTTTATCAGTTGTAAGGAAGAAAAAGTTTTTAATTTTTCTGGACAAAAGTAAAACAATATTTTGACTTTTCTATATTACAACTGTTTATCTATAAAATTTCTTTATGATCCAAATATGTATTTCCAATGACTGAGTTTTGAAATGTGGTGATATTTATTTTAAAAGTATAATTAATAATTGTCTGTTTTTAGGAGCATTAAGTTTTGCAGAACTTGGTACTGTTGTACCAAGCTCAGGGGCTGAGTATGCTTTCTTTCGTGCTGCATTCACTGGTTTCCACAACTTTTTTGGACCTCTTCCTGGTTTTATTTATATATGGGTGATTGTTTTCTTGGTCCGGCCAGCAGAGGTAGCTATTCTTGTGCTTACATTTTCTGAATATACCTACAGTCCCATAGTACTTTATTTTAATATGGAAATATCGCCATTAATGGAAAGTGTTTTGAAGAAACTCATTGCACTACTTGCAGTTGGTATGATAATACACATACTGATTAATGATGTATTCATTTTATTTATTTTTAATTTGATTTTAATTTTTCCAGGTCTAATAACATACATAAATTTTGTCAGTGTTAAAATATATGTTAAGATGCAAAACATGTTTTCATCTCTCAAAATACTTGCCTGTTTAGCTGTGATAATTGGAGGAATATGTCATCTAGCGAAAGGTTTGGTTTCTTTTTAACTTAAGAGATTTTATGTATACTATTTGACTTTCATTTAATCATTATCATTATGATATTATGATTTAAATTTTGAGTACGTGTTTGGATGTTAGAGAGTGATATATTGTATTTTTAGGACTCTTAATTTGAGATATGTTGTATTTCATCTGCTTATATGTGGTTTAGGTTGTTTCCTGTCTTGATGATGCTTAAATTGGCAAAACATCAAAATCATATAAAAGACTAGTGAAGCATTATTGTATTTAATATATGTGAATTACAATTAATTGATCTAAAACTAACCAATAAACTGGACTGACCTATTTTTCCATTACAAATTGAGAATTATTTATTTATTTTCATTATTGAAACACAATCAGGCCTATTGAGGAAGAAGGCGGGACAGCCTGGTATATACAGTGCTAGTGTTTTTTTAAGTAGGTCACGTTTTTTGTTGAATAGTTATGATAACTTAAAAATATATTCCTTCTTAGTAAACCAGACAAAATTTTTTCTTCAAATAAAAGTAGAGTTTTTCATTGTTAAAATTCAACTAAGTTCTCTTTAAAAAGATAAACATAAATTATCCAGTTTTTTTTTTTTTTTTTATCATCCTCCAACTATCTTACAGTATCCCACTTTTAGAAAAACTTTCTAGTTTAAAAAGATTTAAGTCCATATTGATTAAATTGGGGTTTATTTGGGAAAAACTTGAAATTAATCTCAAGTTGAGTAAAGAAATTATGTGATTTTATATCATGTCACCTAAAAATACCTGTGGTTTCAACAAAAATGGCTACAATAAATTATTGTATAGCTTTTATTTCTTGTTTTCCCATGACCTGTAATGTATTATAATAAACATAATAACCTAAACACACTTTTTGTTTAAAAAAAAAAAAAGTTGATTTTTCATGTTAGTGATTATGAAAACTGTGTTTTTTATTGAAATCTCTATTATAGGAACTAATCTGCATTTATAAGTGACAAAATAAATGTTTCTAGTCTTAATATTTATTTTTAAAATAGAGAAACCTGCTGATTTCTTGAATTATTTTAATGAAAATGCTTCTTTAAAGTTATTGCTACCTATTCAACAAAAAAATGGGACACTTAAAAATACACAAAACTCAAATTTTCTACTTTTCTGCAGAAATTTGGACCATTATTTATATAAACTTTTTTGTAGCTCTTGAGGTCTGTTATCACTCCAATAAATATTTCCATCTACTTACAGGACAACCTGTATATAAGTAAATATATTATATATATTGTAATATATATTTTAATTGAAATTTGTTAAAAGTGATTTTAAATTTGTTAAATATTATATTCTGAATTCTTATTTTTATAAAGTTATAATTTTCTTTTTATTTTGGTAGGAAATATTCAGTATATCAACAAAGGATTTGAAGGAACCAAAACCAACGTTAAGGATTTAGTTCTTGCATTCTACACAGGCTTATGGTCTTTTGATGGTTGGTATGTATAAGTATAAAAAAATTAAATATGTGTTGAATCAAAATCTGTTGAATTGGCAAGAGTCTAATCACAAATCTTTAATTAAATAAAAATTTAGTAATTATTTTTTTAACTGAATTTTGAAGATGGCATGTAATAAATAATCTTTATTTATGCAATTATTATAACAGTAAAATAGAAATTGTTTGTTGTTCAATAAATCTGTTGCATCTGTAAAAGGTGCAATTTTGAGTAAAGAAATTATGTGATTTTATATCATGTCACCTAAAAATACCTGTGGTTTCAACAAAAATGGCTACAATAAATTAACCAGGAAGTTAATTTTTCTCTCTTTCTTTGTATACATTGGGCAAAGTTATGCAGCTATTACAGAGATGAACAATCCTTTGTGAATCGTGTTAAAATTTAAAAATTTAACTTACACCTGTGATGCAATAGATGCTTTAAACAATCATTATACTTACTCAAAGGTTTCTAAAGACTGCAGCATAGTGCTTAACAATCTTGCTGAGCTTAACAGGGTTGCAATTGAGTAGGTGCCTGGTCATTCGGGCATTCCCCGCCAGGTTAGGCTCAGACATTATTCCCATAATTCCTGAACCTGTATGTGGAATCAGCCTTAGTACTGCCAAAAGAAGGATTCGAGTTATAATTATAACCATATTATAAGATATATGGTGAAAAATTCAAACAACACAGGACCAACAAGAAAAAGCAACATTCGAAGCTGTTCCTTAAAGGTCCAAGTGAGAAAAGAAGTAAGCTGCTACTGAATCTGAACAGAGCAACTATAAAAAAACTTACTGAAATCTATACTGGTCACTGTAAGTTAAATTACCACATGTTCCATATCCAAGTGACCAGGAACACGCTATGCAGATTCTGTCAGGCGGGGAATGAAATAGCCGTTCACATGCGATAGGTTTGCAAGGCTTAGACTAAAGCTATTTGGGGGAGTACCAAGTCGATTACCCCATTAACGTCTTAGGAAAAAGACAGATGAAACACATGGTGCACAATAGATCCTCAAGGGTCGTATTAGTGCCTTATGCCAATGTTTAAAAAAAAATGTACACCTGTCAAAATTACGAACTTTCAATTTCGTTTTTCCATAAATAGGATTTTTGCATTTACTCTATGCACTAGTGTCACAGAACTAATTACTGACTGAAACATGATGAATATATTTATAAACTTAATAAGAGAATAATAAATTAATAGGTTATTCATATTCATGTATAAAATGTACAACTTATGTTCATTATTTATTATTATATTTTCTTAATAAAATTAGACCAACACTGAATCATGTAGGTTTGTAAATAAATGAAAACAGTAATACACGACTAATGATATATATTATAAAAATAATGCATACACCTTGGATAATAATAGATGTTTCACAAATATAAAGGAAACTGCAAAGCACACTAGAACCTCACCCCACACCATGTTGCCATTGAAATACAACAAAATATTCCAACAGATTGTTAACTCCAAGTATATTTATAGATTTCTATCTTTTAAAATGATAAGAACAAATATGTATAAGTGTTTTTCTAAAAATCATGAAAAGTTACAATTTGTTACTGAAATAACTGATTCAATTGTTTTGTATTTTCTAGAAATATAATTACTTAATACTGATATTTTTATTTTATTTTATTTTATTTTTTATTTTTATTTTATTTTCCTCCCTACCCTGCCTTTAAGACAATACGGGAGTTTGCAGCAGTGACTTGATACACATTGTATAACAAATCACTGTTGCATGTTTATCTATTTACATTTTTAAAATGCTGTGCACACAGCCTGCTTGTTAATTTTGTCACTTAGTTATTGTTCTCCATCTTCTTCTCCTGTCCTAATTAGCGGCCTTCCAGGTACTGCTTCTTCACGCCTTCCCAGGGAGAAGTGGGTTGGGCCCACAGTTTTTTTCCAGCCGCATACGAAACTTTTAAAGTGCGGGTAGTTTTGTTCAGACATTAGTTGGGGTAATTGTCCTTCTGTAAGAACGAAAAGCCCTGTATCCCTCATTAATTTGGCCCTCAGTGCCTCATAGCTGGTGCAGGCTACAAGGATGTGCTCAGCGGTTTCAGGTACTCCACAAGTGGGGCATAAGGGGTCGATATTTTTACCGTGTTTAAAAAGTTTTGCTCTGAAACCCCCATGCCCCGTGAGGATCTGTGAGACCCAGTAGTCCGGGAGGACCCATTTCTTTTCTAAGCGCGATTTAATGGTGGGAAAGAATTTTCTTAGTGTGGACCCGTTTGGGGTTGTCACCCATCGCCGATTCCATTGTTCCAATGTATCCTCCCGGAGGATCATCTTCCATCTTCTGGGGTCATCACAAATCCTCTCCCGAATGTTTGCTGGTAAATCCGCCAAGTCATCCCTCTTAATGTTGTACCGATAAAGGTCTTCCCGCAGAAGGAGGTCGAGAGGAATACCTCCTCCTAAGACCTGCACCGCCTCATGGGACACAGTTCTGTATGACCTGGTTACTCTAAGCAGGGCCATCCGCTGGATTGTTGCCAACTTGCGCTTCTGACGGTACGAGAGATTCCGGTTCCATGCGGGGGACGCGTATCTCAGGATACCAATAACTACTCCTTTATAAATGGACATAGTTGCTGGATATCTAAGGCCCCAAAAGGCCCCCCCTATGCGACTGAGACCATTAAGGGCTAAGGTTATCCTATTCCTTAAGTAATCCAAGTGAGGCGTCACGTTGAATTTTTTCCCAATCCTAATTCCAAGATAGGTGACTACCTCACTTGGACATATTCTGGAACCTTGTATCACCAAGGTTATGGGGTGTACTTAATACTGATAATAAAGATGAATTATTTTTATTTTAAATTCTTTCTTATAAACACAGCTTAGTGGGTAAGGCACTGTGCTTCTAAGATCCAGATCCCTGGTTCGAATCCTGTTTGTGGCAGCTAATGATTTATTCTGTAACATTTACTCCATGGTCGGCGGATCCTCCTAGGACTTACCAAGCCTCTATAAAGTGCGTACTCTTAACTATTTAAGGGAGAAAACCTAAGTATGATCTTGGCTAAACCGTCTCCTTATACAACCATTGACCAAGAAACAGTACTTCCTTACAAAATACTGATCACAAGACCCTTCATGGGTTGTAGTGGCAATTTTTTATTTTTTTTATTTTTTTTTTTATTCATTGTTTATTATATATGTTAATTTACTTTTTTTTTATTTGAAGACTTATTTTTCAGGACTTCAGTCACTGTTGTTTCAGAGGAAATTAAGTCCCCAAACAGGTAATAATTTTTAGTTTATCTGCTCACCTAAGTTTTAGGTATATCAAAAGCATTGTAGACTTAAAATTGTTTTTTCTCCTTGATCTCGAAAAACATAAGAATAATAAATCAATAAAAATAATTAATTCATTAATTATATAATCAATTTTTATTTAAAAAAATAATTGTATACTGCTTTCACTTATTATAGCACATTGTCGTCCACATCTGTGGTTTAGTGGATGCACCATTTCTCTCTCTAAAAACAAAGGAGAGTGAGGTTCATTACCATAACCCCTGAAATTTTTTCATGTTCACCAATCTTCATTGTGAGAATAAATGAGCTGCTAATGGATTTATTTGGTCTAAGAAAAACTAAAATAATTAATGATTTTGTGAGAAGTTACACATGGCTATCATATACCTCTCCCTATATGGTCACTCCTATTGTAGAAGCAGCTGCTTTTGGTCTTGTTCTTGTATTTTTTTTGGGAGGTGGGGGAGAGGAAGTGGTTATTGTATTGCCCCTAAAAACCGATACTGATATGGTACAAACATAGTTTATTTTCTGCTTAATTAACATATTTAACTAAGGAATTTGAATTATCATTCAAATAGGATGTTCTTGTTAATGATTTTGAGGGTTATTTGATTCATTCATGGAAAACTTCAGAGGATAATAAGTAATCTATTTTTTGTAATATTATAAAAATTTTCAAGTAAATTATTTTTGAAAAAAAGATAGTAAGTCTAAGTTTTTATTACAGAAATATTCCGTTGAGTATATCATTGGGAGTTCCTTTGGTAACTGTGTTATATTTCACAATGAATGTTGCTTATATGAGTGTCCTTTCAGTTGAAGATATGATTGCTGCACCAGCTGTTGCCATGGTAATATACCTTTATTATAATTTATTTATTAATTAAACAAAAGTAGTATATCTGTGTGAGAACTCTCACTGTAGATATTTTTTTGCCTATAATAATACAATTGAAGCATAAGTGATATTAAATAAACATTTTTATTCATGTAAACAATATATTATTGTCAAAAAACCTGATTTTTTTAGCAAACATGATTTTTGAAGCTTCAAAATAATATGAGAAGGAATTAGTCGAGGGTGCGGTCAAAAAAATAAAAAAAATTAAAATATATAAATAATAAGCAGTGTTTCAACCGCCTCCCGCAGTGCCACATCCAACGCCCTGAAGACGACCTGCAAAGTGGGTCGAAACGTCGGCAAAAATTAAAATTATTTATATATTTTAATTTTTTTTATTTTTTTGACCGCACCCTCGACTAATTCCTTCTCATATCATACCAACGGTCAACCAACTCTACATCATTATAACAAGCAAGTGGAGGTTACCTTTAATTGTAAATAAACAGATAACGGGACCAAAGGTTAAGAAGTGAAGAAATTGAACCGCCTCACCGTTTCAACCGCCTCCCGCAGTGCCACATCCAACGCCCTGAAGACGACCTGCATAGTGGGTCGAAACGTCGGCAAAAATTAAAATTATTTATATATTTTAATTTTTTTTATTTTTTTGACCGCACCCTCGACTAATTCCTTCTCATATCATACCAACGGTCAACCAACTCTACATCACTTCAAAATAATAAATTTTAAAAAAATTATTAAATAGCAAAAACAAATACTGTATCAATCCTTCGCTGGTATCTTTAATTATGAAATAATTTATTTACTTTTATGAAACCTTCATTTGTGATTTATGTTTGTATCTTATTGATAAGCATGATAACTTTAATGAAATCACCTTAGAAACTAAATTTCCATTAGGAGAAAAAAAAAAACTACCAATTTTATCATGATTAAGCTTGTAATGGAGATAGGTTTTCCAAATCAATGATTATAGTTCAATTAACTTTTTTACATTGTTATTACTGTTTCTTTTTTTCAGATATTTGCTGAGCGATTATTTGGACCTTTCGCTCCTATAATACCTGTAGCAGTTATTTTATCAACATTTAGTTGTGCAATGAGTGTGCAGTTTGGTGTTTCCAGGTAAACTTATTGTTTATGAAATTCACTCACAGTTTATTTTATGTTTATGAAATAACTTCATTTTTCTAAAAATGTGAAGACATATTTTTATAACCCTTTGTCATGCATAATTTGCATTCTAAAATGCTCAGGTTCTAATAATCTATGAGATCAAGAAGGCAAGCATGTGATAAGTTGTGGTTGAGAAACAACCATCATTGTATTGATAATAAGATACTAAAGTTTAGTTAGAGCTTTATTCATTGGATCGAAAATTGGTTGCCTTTCCATTTTATCGTAAAAAAAAATATGGATGACAATCATATCGTAGGCAAGCATGTGATAGATTGTGGTACAGATATAACCATCAATGTATTGATAATGAAGATACTTGAATTTAATTTGATTTTCATTCATTAGGCTGAAAATTTGTTACCTTCATCCTCATTTTATATGAAAAATATGGATCACAATGATATTGTTGGTCCCAATTTGAACCTGTTCAAATTTTAAGTTTTTAGCTGGCAAAAAAATATTAACAAACATTAAATTTTCATCATATTGAGATTTTTTTTCTAATGGTGAATATTTGCAAATGATATGTTATTGAGTAGAAATAATTAGGAATTAATTGTTATCTGTAAAATGTAGGCAAAATTAAAACAAAAAAATTATCCTAAATCAAAAGGTTTTGCACTTATGCTGTTTCACATTGAGACCAACAATATGCATATCTAACAGATTAGTTGGCAATAAAAGATTTAAGTTGGAAACAAAAATAATAAAGTGGTTATCAGCATTTTTTGGGAGTACAATAAATCTCTCAGTTCCGCATTGAACTCATTCAAAATCAAAAGATTTCATGAAGATGGGAGATGGGGAGCCCAACCCTTAGCCACCAAACTAAGAAACCTGGCAGTCTGAAAATTAATTTGTTCACCTTACAGATTGTATTTACTTGAAGACTAATTAAAGATGACTTTGTTATTATATCAATAACTAGCTATTATAATAGTAGTTTTGCCTTTTTTTTTTCTTTTAAATAACATTACTATTTTGTAAAATAAAAATTATTTTTATGTTTTCTGCATAATTTTATTGATACATAAATTTTTTTAAACTTTGCTTTGGTATGTAATTTATCAGTTTATAATTAACTGATCAGTTAAATCACAAAAAATAACAATTATTGTTATGAAAAAGATAATAGGTTCCGATTTTGATCATCTTTGTATCATACATGCAATAGGCTATTAATATAAATAGGCATGACATTTGTATACCTCTCTGGATGCCTGGTACTGCACTCCATCAAGATTTTTTAAATCCATTTTTTCCTGAATGTAATGAAAATCATGACAAAAGTCATTTTTGCTTTCATGTATGATGCTTATTGAATGTGATTAATCACTCATCAGTGAAAATTTGTATGCAGTTTAAACAAAACCATATACCTATGAGTCCAGGTACATTGAGCATGATACAAAGGTAATCTTTGTCATTTGCTGAAGAATATGTACAGCCAGTAAATAAGAATCCTGTTAAAGCTAGACCCTGCCAATGCACTAATATGATATAAAAGATTACACAGCCATAGTAACCTATTTTCACTGTGAAGGAGTCCCTAATAGCTTCATCATCATCATAATCAAGTACCTCTTTACCGCTTATGCAGTGTATGGTAGATGGACAAAAATCTCCTGGCCTTTAGAGAAATAATTTTCTATATTGGAACATATGCTTCATCATTTCTGTAGTGATTCTGTCCTGTCCCACCGACTTGTTGAGTTTCATCTTGGAGATGGATTCCTACTACTCTTCTCAATCCATATAATCATCCTCTTCTGAGGGAAACTCCTCTACAGTCTGGTTCTGGTTTTGATTCAAATCTCTTCCTTCCATCAGCTCTTTTAAATACTCTCTCCACCTCTCCATTATCTCATCATCCCGCCAAGATAATGTTTCCATCTCTGCTCCTAATTCCTTTCAATGCAGTGGGTCTTCCCTTGTGCATTTCTATTTCCTCTTGGCTAGAAGTACTTTATTCTTTGTTTTCTTTCTCTCTTCTTTGTATTTTTGGTGAACAATGATTGTTCTCTGGCTCATGAAATCATTCCAGGCTGCTTTCTTCCCTTTTTTACAGCTCTGTTCACCAATCAGTTTGTTTGAAATTTGACCCAGTGCTCTTCTAACCACAGATGAGTCTAACGGTATCAAGAATGATGTTTCTAAATGCTGTCTATCTTTCCTCAATATCATCTCTACCCCATGATTGGTAAATATCTCGTGACATTCTTTCCACTTCTAACTGATAGTATTGGGCCATTTCATCCTCCTTCTGCCTGTAAGATTTAATCGTTTTCTTCTTACTACCTACAATTCTGTTCTGCATCTTTCTTTCATTCCAAATTTTATTGAGCACTTACAGATCACTTCCTATTTCAAAGCCCTTCTTCACTTGGGCATCTTGTATGTTTCTCAAACCTTCCCTCTTGACCAGCACATGAGGCATAGGACAACTAAATAAAAGGAATTTCCACTCCTGTATAATAAAATAATTTATTTCAACAACTGTAATAAATGAATCTACTAAAGTCTTAGAACTGTAGGCTTGATCTTCTTAATCTTCAGTGGAATAGGCTTCTCTCCTGCCGTAACCTACTTCCGTCTTCACGTCCATGCCTCAAGTGAAGTCTTTGTCCTTCCAGCATCCCTGTCCAGCTGCTGCCACCTGCCAGGCCCTTTTCCATGTTTCTCCTTCTCTTTGTTCTGCTTTTACTTTTCATTGATTGTTTATAGATTTGATACTTTTCACTCAACAACATGTCCACTGTACAATTGAGTCCTATATTCCTTCTCATTCCCTTACTCAATTTCACATAAAGGAGTAAATACTAGAGGCCATACACTATATAATACATGATTCCCACTCTGCTGCTGTTCTCTCTTTCTTGCTGACTCCCGAGTATAGAAGAGCCTTATTGGTTTCCTTAAATTCAATCCAGCTCTATTCTTTCAATTTCTTGTAATGAGTAATTTAAGTGGAGTGGGTTAGCAGCCCACTGCAACTTAGTCAGGTGGAGGTGGCTGCCTCCTTTGAGCATCCTGACCTGCTCCCTTATCCGAGGCAGCTTAGTAGGAGAGGTTCCCCTAAGGTGTGTAGTGTAGTTGACCTTGTGTCAGTGTGAGTGAGTGGTGTGCTGTTCTGTGTGCATGTATTATTGCAGTGTACTGAACTTGGGGTCCTGGATGTTCATCAATCCCACTAACTGCGTGCTTCAGTTAGCTCTAGGCTGAAAATGTCTGAGAGGAGTTTGTATTATACATTATATTACATTATAATGAGTTTGTATTATTATACATTAGCATTGTTGAATGGTAATGTATAATCACTGGCTAGTAACAAGTTTTAAAAGAGGTGGTTCTGAGTTTCACACTTATCAGTTCCTCACACTCTGAAAACACAGAAGCTCTTGAATTTTTAATAAAAATTTACATTATGCCACTGTAGCAAAAAAAAAAAAAAGAACTTGCCAACTATAGTTACGAGGCAATAAATGTCGTCAACGTAATTTCTAGGTTTAAAACAATGTTGACTATGTTTTTTGTTGATGTATCTAAAGCAACCTTCAATGAAAAGATATTTGAAATTCAATTCTTATCTTATAAGCACATGAAGATCAAAGAAACAAATAAAAAAAAGAATCATTTCACAATGTGTAGGATGTCAGCAATTTATCTATACCAAAAAATATTGTAATCACCCATCGATGAGTGTTAGTTGTGGTATGGTCAAGAAAGCTCTTCTTGCATCAAGAATCGAGATACAGTAACACAACATGTGTCAACTGTCATAGAACCATATCCTGGTTACTTCAGAGGTTGTGAAACTTTGAGAGAGCTCAGGAAGAGCTGCACAAGAAATATTCTGCAGAGACCTCTAAAAGTTTTGGCCCTACTACCAGCACTCCATAAGTTTTCATCAGCCTCAGCACTCTCACCATTTTCAATAAAGACCACAACTGCAGCAGCAGAGGCAGCTATGAAATTCAGCACCAGCACCTAACCAGGAACAGGTAAGAGTAGGTGCATTACCCAACTAGTCCCTCCAACTAAAACCACCTCAGATGAGATAATTTTATGAGAGGGACTCACATAAAAGCTGGACTGACCAATAGACAGTAACAAATAATACTAACTGTTTGCTTTAATTTTTCATTTGAATTTTCCAATTTTAATATCCTGAGTATTCAATACATTCATAATAACTTTTCATACCATTGAAAGTTTGTATTTCATCATAATATTTATAAATAATTCTTTGGGAGTATTTTCATGGCGTTTTCCATAGTATGAATTTATATCCTTTTGTAGGCCATTTTTTAAATTTCATTTTTGGTAGGATTTTTTCAATCTACGATGATAAAGTCAATAAAAAAGCTATTTATAAATAATATAGGAAACAAATTTAAAATCAGCTTTAATTAAACAAATCAGCTGCTGATGCGAACTCTCTACTTAAGCTGCAGTAATTTTCAGCCGCTTAAAATTAAATAAAATACAAAATTTTGGCAATGTTTCATGTTCATTTTATTATGTTATGTATTAAAATATATCTTATATTTACTATAGTGTTCTTTATTTGATAAAAAAGAAAAATATATGAATCCGTTGCAATATTTATTTATAACTATGTTTGAAGATATTATTAATTTTTAATAGATATAAAAAAAAAAAGAAACTGTACTACTACAACTCATGGAGAATTTTGGGTTCAGTACTTTGCAAGGAAGTCCTGTTTCTTCAAGGCCAACTACGAGGTTTTTCTCCTTAATTAATTATTTAAATAAGATTACCCACTTTATAGTGCTTGTGTGTGCCACAGGAGGATCTACTGATTCTATAGTCACTTCACAGTTGATGTATCAGAATAAATAACGATCTTCAACAACCAGTCTCAAACCTAGGATCTTGAGCATTGAAAGTCAGACATTTATTCACTAAGCTATCCCACTCCCATGTAATAGTTATGCTCTTGTAATATTTCTGTTTACAATAATTGTGCAAAAGTCATACAAAATAAATAATTATCATTTCTTCTTTTTCCTGTATCTCCATGCCTTTTGGCTTAGAGGAGCTCTATTAACTAGTAATATCTTCTCCTTTTTGTGCCAGCAGCTTCCATTCTCTTAGTCCTTCCTGTTTTAGTACATAACCTGATGATGTATTCATTTTGTAATTTCCTGTTCCTGTCTCTTGCTCTTAAGCCAGATGGCTGATCTTGACCATCATTTTTCTTTGTTTTGGTTCAGATGCATCCTGGATTCATGCCCAAATCACTTTAAGTAGGATCTATGTTAGGTGGTTTTCACTGGAAGTATGGCCAAGTTATAAATCATAAACTTATCTATCATTTCACTTGACAGAGTTTCTTTACTTTACACTTCATATCAATGCAGAAATTGTGAGCTGATAGGATTTATTCTTACAATACTTTTTGGGTCTTACTATTTTGAAATAACTCCTGAATTAAGGAGTCATTCACATTTTTCACACTCCAAGTCTCCAATATAAAATTTTTGGAACAAAATCAAACTCTGTGATCCATAAAAGCCACATACATATTTCTGTCTCGATCCCAACACTTCTCCAGTATGATGTTTATGAGCACAAAGGTATTGTTCTAAGCTTGGATACCTGTCAAAATTCTTCCTGATCTTCTACCAGTTTTCCAAGTTTATGCCTCAGAATTTAAGTGTTCTTCATATATATAGTACTACTGCCTCTCAGCAGTCACTCATTTGATTTGTAGCTAATACATTCACTAGAGCTCTGTATTTTGTGAATCGGATCTTTCATATTAGTGTACCTATTGCTACTGATGGAGAATCTAATCCAGCAAGTGCCACTTGTGTTCCTTTTTGCCAAACTGTGACAACTACCTTGAGGTTGATGCCATGTACTTACCAGAGTGGGAGTGTCAAGATTCATTTCTTAGGGCCGTCAAGAAATAAATATTAACCTACCCAGGTGGAAATCAATCCCACATCATTCAGAACCGGGCACTCTGAGAATCATGCCACAATGTGCTCAGCCATCATGTCCTCTAGGGCTATCATTATAACTTTCCAATCTCATGGAATTTTTTAGCTGTACCAAATCTTGTTAAAAAAAGGACCTACTGAACCTGGATGATTTCTGGACCTCTACATTTGATAAATTCAAGAAAATCTTCATTATAATTTGCAGCTTTTGCAATCTTAATCCTCTTCACTTCTGGTTCAACATCTTCCTTCCACATAAACTGTAAACGTGTTGTTAATTAGTTACAAAATATTACAATGTTTAGAATAATTATATTTTGAGGTTTTACAACTTATAACACTATTCAAATCTAAGCAAAAATATCTCCAAGTTCTTTACGAACAATGTAGTGAGATGATTTAGTTTTTATACCTTATCAACTATAAAATTATGATATTTCAAATAAAGTATTTACTTTTTAGATTATGCTTTGCTGCTGGAAGAGTTGGTCATATGGTGGAATGCTTTTCTTATATACACATTCGAAGAATGACTCCTGCTCCAGCAGTAATTTTACAGGTATCTTGTTGGTACTAATACTTTCACAATTGCTATGTTTTGGAACTCTTCTCTTTAAGAAGTTAGGATTATCTTCATTCCTCATGGTTTTAGATTTTTTTTTTGGAAAAATAATTCTGATTTATTATTGTGGTGATATAATCCTTATTGAGGAACATATGTTATGAGCTTGACTGAAAATTTTATAACATATGATCTAAATAGTTAATGTTTAAAAAATATATTTGGATAGGAACACATGTGGGGAGAATAGTAGGAGAAGTAAATTATTTTTAACATTTCTATTGAAAAATCACTGTTGTGTTGGATTATATAATGTTCACATGATAGTTTTGAGTAACAGTCCTGTGAAATTAGTCAAAATAGAGGGTAATATCTCAAAGTTTTGAAAATGTATATACTTCCTCTTTCAAGTGCCCTGCACAATATAATAAAGGTAGTTTTTACACTTTTTCTGTGGAACCAACTTTTCCTACAAACCAACTACTCTTCCTATGATTCACATGTTTCCAAGGAAATTAAATGAAATTTTTTTATTAAATGTAAAAAAAAAAAACCTGTACCACTACAACCCATGAAGGGTCTTGGGCTCAGGTTTTTCCCCTTAATTAATTATTTTAATTAAGGGTACCCTCTTTATAGAGGCTGGGTGTGCCCCAGGATAGTCTGCCTACCCAAGGTCGCCCCACGGCCTATGAAACAGAATAAATAATTTTTCTGCCATGAGCTGGGATTTGAACCTGGGACCTTTAGCTTTGGAAGCCCAGTACCATACCACTGAGCTACTCCTCTCCCTACTAAATTTAAACTTTTAAATTTTTTTCGAAGTAAAGTAAAGAAGTATTTGAAATCTACCAAATCAAGCCAATGCCATTGTTTAAAATACTATTTCATTGTACTTGTGTGAAAGAAGTGAAATATAAAAATATTTTATGGATATGTTTATAGCCTTAAATATATTTACTGTAGCTTAATAACTTTAGAGATGATATTATATTTAAATAATCAAATATCTATCTGCTGTTTATTCCAAAAAATCATCAAGTAACCTATTAGAAAATTTAATTAGTGAATAATTACCTTTATGGAATCCTGTCTAACAAAACAATTTATTTTTACAACAGTAATAAGTTAATCTATTAAAGTCATATAACTTTAGGCTTGATCTTCTTAATCTTCAGTGCCTATCTCTTCTAACAATCTCCTTCCTTCCTGTCCCGCCCTAGATAGAGGTCCCTTCTCTCCAGCGTCCTTCTCTAGCTGTTGCTACCTGCACAGTCCTATTCCAACCTTCTTCCTACTTCATCGATTATTTATCGATATCAGACTTTTCACTTAATAATTAGTCCACTGCATAATTTAGTACAATTCGTAGTGAAACCTCACATTCCTATATATTCCTTCTCATTCCCTCACACAATGTCTCATAAAGGAGTAAATACTGGGGACTATCTACTACATATCCCTACCGTTTAACTTTTAAATTTTGTGTTCGAGTGAGAACAACAAAATTTAAGAAATGATGAAATGAACTTTTTGTGTAATGGAAATTTGAAATTTGAATGTGCATACTTAAAATCATTCCTAAATGCACTCATGTATCGGCGAAAAACAATTATTTAAATGAATATACCAAATACACAACAAAAAAAATATACAATATATACAAAATTCTGTTATATACAAAATACACGATATATACAAAATCATGATACATACAGTATATACAGAATAAACGGTTTTAGGTGTACAAAAAAAATTACTGGATAGTTTAAGGTGAACATTTAAATCCTATTATCGCTAATTAAACGTGAATGCAAAATTTAATGCAGGAACTAGCTTATATCTACCATGGAAATGAATTTACGAGTAATCCCTGTTATTTATTATTTCACAAGTTTGTTTATTACTATTATTTATTTTACTTATTTATTTATTGATTTTTTATTTTATATTCATAAACCTGTGTTTATATCCATTAATTTCCAAAATATTATTTTATCATTCTCCTAACCTGGGTCTATAGTGGGTCTATAGCACCAAATTTTTAGTAATCAACAGTAGTCCCATCTCTCAACATGAACCCACCACATGAGTCTGCTGTTTTTAATAATAATAATAACAATAATCTGAGGATAACAGGCTCACCATATAGTTCCATTAGTTTGGCGGTACTATCGTTTAACCAAATAATAGAGGATGCTTATTAACCTCTGTTTAAGACTTTCTTCCAATTAAAGTGTCATCCAATTTAACAACTGTTCCTTCCAACTCAGATATGATACTATCATTTTTGAAATTTTGCTGGTCTTGATACTACACAAAAAGGCTGTGATTCCTCTTCTAATTTTTATTTAAATTCTATCTTGGCCTTACTTTTAGTAAATATTCCTAATTAATCAGAAAACATTTTTGGAATACTTGCAATATTTTGAAAAATTACTGTGTTGTCACAATAAGATTTATTTCACATTGTCTCACGCTCTACAGTGTTGAATCCTAGAATCTGAATCACATCTCTAACCAAGAGTAGGTGACCATTTTAATCAATAATATAAAATGTAACATTTGAAAACTTTTCTTCTATAAGACATATTAGTACAGAAATAGCCATCAAATTTATTTTTTCTTCGGAATAAGATAAAAGTTAGTTAATAGTTCTTTTAGTTTATTTAAAAAAAAAATTCTAACCTGTTTTATAAATCATTATTTTTTTTATAAACATATTATTTTTCAATAACTATCATTTTATATGTTTTTAATTTTAGGGCACATTAACCTCTATATTCATCATTACAGGCAGTATTATTAGACTCATAGAGTTTGTCAGTTTTATTATATGGATTTTTTATGGACTTGCGATGGTTGCATTAATTGTCATGAGGTCTACAAAAAAAGAGGCTGCAAGACCTTTTAAGGTAAATTGAAGAAAATTAATCAAATAAAATTTCAATTGTAGCTTTGTGAAACCCATAGCTACACTGAATCTGATATAGATATAGATTACATCATGTCATAATGATAAATTACATGTTTGTGTTGCAGTAACTTTACATGACATACTAGTAGATTGAATGCTATCAGGAGAATTGAAATATGTTTTTACAGTAGGAAAAACCTGATAAAAAACCTACATAAGATATAAATGAAAAACTAGATTACAATCATTAAAAGTACAAGAAAAACAAAATATAATTTATATAAAAAAGAAAACTATATATATATATATATACACAAACACGTACACATCCTATAAATATAATTTATTAATTGGAGTGGTAGAGTTTATTGTTACTTGATTGTTAATAGATAAGAATCTGTTAAATTGTCATAAATAAACAGATTTAAGCGGTATGTGTTTAGTCTGTCTGGCTGTATATTGTTTCAAAGATATCTTGTCATAGTTTCCTATTGTCCGGATCATAGGGTAAAACTCATTAATTTTTCTGGAAGATTTATCAAGAGGAATGAGTGAGTGAGAATATTTAAATTACATAAAACTTGTATTTCCTATAAAATCTCATTATGGTTGTTCTGACATTGCATTTATATCCTTAAGTGCTTAGTAAGTTGAGCATCAAAATAACACAATAGTAGCACAAAAGTTAAATATTTGAGAGAATGTCATTATTTGATGTTTTATTGGAAAAAATTATTCATATTTTAATATTTGTTAAGTATATAGTTATCAGAACAATTAAATTAATTCAATGGTGATTGGTTGATGTGAAAATGTGGTATGAAAATATTGTCCTTCTCTGCAGAAGGTCGAGATTTTCATACCATGCAATGCACTGGGTCCAGACACACAGGAGCGTACTTTCGATATTTACTGGGGTGCACAATAGACCAAAAACAGAAAAATAAGGCACGAGTTTTTATTATGTGTAAGAATTCAACATAATTATTGTGAAATAAACCAATATAATATTTAAAATTAATTTGTTCTTGTGTTTGTATAGTTGTGAAGATTTTTTTTTTTTTTTTTTACTTATATGTACTTAAAAATATCTTAAAAAAAAAAAAAGACAATTGAAAATATAGCATATTTGTTTAGATTAAACACAGGTGAGGGGAAGATAGCCTCTATAACATTGGTTCATTTCTAGAACTTTTTCAGCTAAAAATGAATAATGTAAAATATTTCTTAATGCATACAACCTCAAATAAAAATAAAATGTATTTCTTAGTCTGACTAGTTTGTTGTGCAAAATATGATAAGAATATTACGTGGCAATTGAGGGGTGATTAAATAATAAAATCCTAGGACATTTTGATATATATTGTTATTTTTGATAATATAAATAATTGTGGATGGGGCTTTAGAAAATATTCTCAGTTGGCTCAAGAAAAAAGGAACCAAGAACTAACAACTCTTCATCAGAACGATTGACATTAGTAGAATATCCATTACCCTGCCAAACATGATAATGGAATTTTTTGAGTCTGGAAAAATCAGAAATTATGCTTGAACAATGAATTATTGGATATTTTTAGATTTAAGTCTAATAATTCAGCTTTTCCATTAGTTATTGCCAACAAGTGAATAAAACATTGGGGAAAAAGTTGAAGTTGATTCCTCATACCATCTGTAATTCAAAATATAATTCTCCTTTCACTTACTTGATCCATCTCTCTTGATCTACTTGATCTCAAATACATTCTTGTTTTATGTTTTGTCTCATCATACATGACACACAATACTTTTCACTAGATGAAGTAGTTATCTTATGGCATAGTAAAGTAATATATTATCTCCATCCATTTAAGCATCACTACCGAATTAGTTTTCCATCGCCAAACATTTCTTACTTTCAACTTGCACTCTTCTCATATTTTCCCTAGCTCTTGAGGTTGAGTGTACATTGACTAGGATTAGAGGTTGCCAGAATTCATTTTATTCCATAATTATGATTAACAATAAAAGGATTGCTCAGATGCGCAAATCTTTGAATCTTAAAAAAAATTATACATAAATCTAGCAAAATAAAATGAATGATAAAATATATTAATCAATCAGTTATCAATATATTTAATACTATATTATTTTTAACTCTGATGATGGGTTGGTTTCTTATTGTGAAAAAGTAAGGTAACAATTTTTTTATTATCAAACAGACATAAAACCTTTGTAATTATTCAAATTCATTCTCCAAACTACATTGTACATTTTATATGAAGCCTACAAAATACAATATTTCATGATTCCAATTTTATTTTAAATTTAATCCTAAAATTGATGACAAGTTTCTTGATTTTTTTTTTTTTTACCAGATCAGTTTTAACTAAAATTCATTTCCTCAGCTGATCTCCAAGCCATTATAGAAAAACAAAAGAATAATTTAAAGAAAATTAGAATAGACTTGTAACATTTTGAAAATATAGACATTTCATTCCTAGTTGTTAGTTAAATATCTTTATAAATAATTATAATTATCTTTATAAATAATCATAATTATCTTTATCAACAATTATAAAGTATAAATATCTTTATACAAAATTATAACTATCTGATTCAATTTCTTAATTTTTTTTTAGGTTCCAATCATCATTCCTTATTTTCTTGTAGCCTTATCTGCTTTTATTGCAGTAGTTCCATTAGTACTTCAACCAGATCCATTGTTTTTAGCTGCAATTGTGTTCATTGCCATCGGAATTTTGGCATACCACTTTTTAATTTACCAAAAAAAACATTTTAAATGTACAAGTAAGCATCATTGATTTTATTTTTTGTTTTACTATTGGATCAGGAATTAATTTTGTTTTTAATAATGTATTTTTTCTAGGATGCTTTTGTTATTATGTGCAAATACTTCTAGAAGTTATTCCTTCAGAGAGATAATGACAGAAAATCATAGGTTAATTATAAAAGTCATGTTATACAAATATTTTATTATTTAACTATTTGACATATATAAATATTTTTTTATAAAATTGATGTCTTTCATTGTATAGAATCCCATGCCCTTCAGTAATTTTTTTTAACTTAAGAAACTATTAATTTGACTTGATAGTTGAGACATAGCAATAATATATGTTGCTATCAATGTTGTATACTGAAAATTATAAAAAATAAAATTAAGAAAAGGTTTGTAATACTATTTATAAAGTTATTCATCAATAGTTATTTGCATTTTAACATTTTGTCAATATAAGTTACATAGAGAAGAAGAAATTTCGGCTAACTGTGTAATTGGTATAAATATGCATTTATCTCATTAAAAAAAATTGTTATTATTCCTTCGTGTTAGCTTGAATTTTTTTGTATATCTTTAAAAAAGAATGAGTTTTGACCTCAGAATCTGTAAGAAGCACATTATGAGATTTTAAAGTTAACCGTTACAGAGGGCACTAAGTTCTGCTTTTCCTACCAAAACAATGTTGTCTTGTGGGAAGTTTTCATCTGATCATGTCTGTCCGCTTCTTTTATCTTAGTATTCTCCTCATTTTCTTTTTTTCCGTTACTTTCTTTTCCATCTGTTCAGTTCTATTTTGTGTATATTGATACATTTTCTCATTACATCTTATTTTCATTATTAACATTATTTAATTTTTTTTTAATCTCTTATATGTAGTCTGTATGTTTTGATCTATTTTACAGGATCTTAATTCTTCTATTTTTATGATAAACAATCTTCTTTAGCTTATTCATATCTTATGTAAGATTTTTTAATTATATTTTTTATTATATTTAATCCATATAAGATTATTTTTAAAAAACCCTTATTTAATCTCACAGTCCTTACTTAAATTTTAAAACATTATTATTTTATTATTATCACGGCGCTACAACTCGGTGACATGTCTTGGCCTCCTCTACCAGCTTCCTCCAGTCATCTCTGTTTTGTGCGGTCATCATCCAGCTACCGACTCTCAGGACATCCCTTGAATCTCTTGCCACACCATCTGATTGTCTTAGTTTTGGTCTCCCTCTTCTTCTTGTGCCGTAGAGAGGTTCTGTCAGGATAATCCTAGAGATTGCTTCATTCTACATCCTTGCCACATGGCCAGCCTATTTCAATCTTCCTAGATTCATCCTCAGAACGAAATCTTAACCATTAAAAGTTGAGCAATTAAAACATTATTATAATATTTAAAAATTATTATTTTTTAACATTTCGCCTCCAAGAACCATTTTTAAAAATTCTTCTTTTTTAAAAAATAAAACATGAGTCAACATTTTTACTAAAAATGTTTTTCTTAAAATATATCCATACATAGAATACTACTCTATGGCAGTACTTGTTTTATTACTCATAAAATGCTTTGTTTTCTTTTTCTTCCGAAAATCCACAACTTTTCTCCTCTTCTCGTTTTATCAAAAGTTGATCCTATAATTTAACACAACTTTTAATGTAATAATCTAAAATAAACTTTATTTATTATATTATATAACACTATATAATCAAAATGAGAAATAAATCAAAAATCAAAATGAGAAATAAATCAAAAATCAAAATGAGAAATAAAAAACTTTTTACCTTAATTTCTTTTCTCTTATTTTAACTTCACTGTGCTGTATTATAGACTGACTCACTTAACATATTATGGTGCGCTCTAATGTGTTTTTCCCATTTATTCTGTTTATCAGGTCTTAGGATTAATTCTATTAAGAACTGATCCTAATTTTAAATGTTTTAAAATTATAAGTAAGGACTGTGAGATTAAATAAGGATTTTATAAAAAATAATCTTGTACAGATTAAATATAATAATAATTCTTCTATTTACATCTATTATTTTCTTTATATAACTTCATATTCCTTTTCTCTGTTTTACATTTCATTCTTTGATTATCTCATTTCCTTTTAGCATACTAAAACATCATATTTTTGCAACTATGTCACCCCATTTATTTTATGCCTACACTTATGTTTTTCACCTCATATAGTCCATTACATTTTGTTGCTAAATCATTTTTCATTTCTTATGTTACCTTATTTCATTATGTTTAGTTCATTAGTCCCTAACTTTGTTGCCGCTATTATTTATTTTATATTTCTCTGTTACTGTTGTTATTTTATTCATATTTCTTTACTCCATACTGTTATGTTATATACCCTAACTTTACTTCTGCTACTTCCTATCTCTAACTTTGTTATCGTGATTTTATATTTCCTTCAAGTTTATTCTATCTACTTTATTTTACTTTAGTTTACTCTACCTACATTTTTTAGACTATACCTTTCACCTACATATTATTATTTTCTTTTTAATGTTAATAGTTTCTCGTACCCATTGTTATCTGTTTTTACTTTCACTTATATATATATATATATATATATATATATATATATATATATATATATATATATATATATATATATATATATATATATATATATATGTAATATATAGTAAGGGTAAGTATTGCGATCGTGAAAAATTTTGAATCTGAGTTTTCAACAGAAATACACGTTTTGGAGAACCCTGAGTCCAAATAACCAAGCACAGAAAAATGGTCTGTGTATGTTAGCAGTTTATAGAAAAAGAAAAAACATATGTAGGTAGCAAAAGGAAGTGGAAACCTGATCTCGTTTGTTCTAGAATGGGAAAGACATTCGTAATAGATGCCCAGATCATTGGAGATAATCCGAGTACCTCTTACTGGCACAGAGCAAAGATTAACAAATACAAAGCCTTAGACTGTAGAATGGCTATTGGTCGAACAATTAAAGTGCTATTCATGGACATTAACGTATACTCCTGTACTTTGACCTGGAGAGGGATATGGTGTAGAGATTCCATGCGAGACCTTTCAGGATTGGGACTGACAAAGAAAACGATGAATCACATAACATCAAGTGTTCTGAAGGGATCGAACATGAATTATTACGGTTGGCATAAATTGTTACCCCGTTGAAAATGATAAGAAATAATGTATGGGTTATTTTTTAGTTGGATGCGATATCATATATTCATCACACCTAATCTGAATTTTTTTTAGAAACTTTTATGTTATAATAATTTAGATTTTAATCCGATTTAATATAAAACGTTCAATATTGAATCCCACTTGTGCTTAAATAAGATATATTACCGGAAAAAAAAACATATGTGTATGCTATTAAACTATGTATTATTTTTTGAATATTGTGGATGTGTATGCAGGTGTAAGTAGGTATGTATATAAGTTTATGTATAAGTGGGCATGTGTGTGTGACTCTGTGTATGTATGCGTGTCCATTTATTTATTTTTTTTTTTGTTAATCAAGTAAATTTAACTAATTGATTGTTAATTTTATTTTTATTGAATTTTGCATATATTGGGCCTTTATATATATTTAAAATATTTATGACGCAGCAAGTTATTGTATAAATATCTGCATAGTTTTTGACGAAAATCTTAATGCTTGTGAGACCTGGGGACACTAACCCAGGATTTATCTTTATATTTTTATTTTGTTTTGCTTTTATTTTTATTGTTTAGTCTTAGTTTTTGTTTCTTTTATGGTGAAGGTAGCACCATGTTAAGGTAAATGGAATTGTGAATAAGAAAATTTTGTAAGTAAAAGAAAAGAAAAAAAAGCATGTATTTTCTGCCAAATAAAGAAATAAAATATGTGTATGTTAGCAGTTTAGATTGAAACGAAAACGAAACTGATATTACGTATTTAAGTTAGGTATATGCTTTAGATGTAACAGCAACATTTTCCTTAAAATCGGCTAACCGGAAGTGCCACTTTATATCAACGGTGAAACACATTTTTACAATTTTATCAAAAACGGCTCTGACAATTTTTATTAAACTCGGTGTATCATTGTATAATTAAGCGGTCTTTAATATCATTCAGGTCTTATCCCCGTTGATGTCACTTTACAGGGCTTAATTGTCCAATGTTCATATGCATCTTCCTCAAAAGTAACTTTAATTTTAAATAATTAACTATCTCTCATTATTAAGAGTTACAAAAAAATGCTAAATATAAATTTTGAAAAAATTTGATAATCGAATAAAGGAGAAAAAAATAAAAATTCTTATCCAGGTCGAAAATGAATCTCCGGAAATACTAGTCAGAAGGTATAGGTATAAAATATCGTTGGAAAGTGGAGAATTTTAGTTGTGTGTTCAACGCACCAGATTTTTTTCTTAGCTCTGAGATCTAGGCCAAAACATTGGCAAAAATAGAAATAAATATGATTATTTATTTTTACTTTTTTTTACTGAATGCCGCAACCAATCTTCTCTTAAATTATGTGATTTTGTTGTTTCTTGATTATTTGCTTGCAAAGTTGAATTGATTCTCATGTTAATCACATCACGCTTTGTCAATCACAAACAATAAAATATGAGAATGTAATAAACATTATTCTGGGACAAGATCTCTCCTAAGAATAATATAATCGAAACAGTTTAATAGTTTTTTATTTTATTTTTTTCTATGTGTGTGTATATGCTTATGTTTGATTATTAAATTAAAAAAAACTAGTAGGCCTGTGCGAATTTTTTGCACAGCATATTGTTATCAAAAGCCAAATTAATAAGAAAATAAAATAATGCAACATATCAAAAGATACAGAAATTAAATGTTCCTTTATCGATAAATATAATCGACCAAGAAAATAAAAATTAATTTAAATCTTCATTTCTGTTTGGAACCAACATGTATACAAATTTCAGTAAGTTGTATCTTAGCTAAATATTGTCCGATTTTAATAATTTTTTTTCTCATTTTGTTGGGAATTTAGTAATCTTATATAATCATGGGCATAACCAAGGGAAAAGAGTTTAATTTTTTAGTTATTCGCATATAAAGTTTGTTTTCTTTCATAACTTGTTTGCCTGAATTTTTGGGGTGATTGGACTATTTTGCCCGCCTGAAGGAGAAGGAAGCCTTCGAAATTGGTGGCTCAATCTTGAGAATTGGTGAAAAATTAACGATGATATGGCTAGCCGATCAAAAACACCATCGATAAATAATATAAACTCC